ATTTCAACTTAGAGACGCTCTTGATGTTCCAATTACGTCCGCATCTCAGGGTCTCAGTGTATTGTAACATCTACCAAAAATAACAAAACAGCATCACACGCTTTTATTCTTGACGATTTTCAAGACCTTACAATATTTTAATATGCAACATGGCAGGATTTTTCAAGGTGAATTTAAGTGTGCATCGGTATCTTTCAGGAATGCTCGCCGTACAAGGTACAGAACATGAGGAACGAATCATGTTATGACTCAAAAACACGACTTCAACATCATGTTGGGTGAATCATCTCACAGCAAATACTGCAGTACGTTTTTCAAGGCACTTTCCCTATTGCAACACTCTTACAGGCAAATTATATATGCATGGCATTTGGGCAACACAAAGGCGCTTGAGGCTCTCATAATTTTAATATCCTTTGATGGCTGTGAGCATTTTCAGTGCAAATTTGCTACAAGTTGTCTTCTAGTGTATCATGCCAGACAGTCCGCCATAGAAACTTATAATGGTGGCACGAAGTAGGAAAGGGCCTCTTGCCGTGTTCAAATATTGTATGATTGCAACGCTTGCGCATCACGAAAGCCACCTATATTTCAGCTGCTTCCTGAATAAGATACATCTTGATTAATTAACCTTCTCATAAAAGGGCTCTGGAATCATTGATCCAATCCGACTTTGAGAACACGGTAATATTATATGAGAGGACGTATTATATGAGACATTTCCAGAGACATTCATTATCTTGCAGCTCACTTATACGGCAAACTACGGCTACGGTCTGTTTAGAAGATGGTTTTCAACGATGGGCAAAAAACAACCCAGCGGATGACCTTGACCATTAATTATGATGGGTTATTGCAAGAAGAATCGCGTATATTCAGCAATGCAATAAAAACAATGAGACGCATTGTTTCGATAATGATCTATTGAAAATATGGGCTCAGATCACCCACCGAGATTTCTATCATTTATTGGTATCCTTTAATTTGGGATTTGGAACTCATTCATAAATGAACCACGAGGGGCAACACATTAAAAAAATCTTCTGTTGTGTCATCCAATCGAGCAAAGTGGCCGTAAAAATCTTCGCACATGCTGCAGGTCGTCGAGATTCCCAAAATACTGTACAGTACTGTAAACTCGAATTCTGCCACGAACTGTGCGTGCAACACACAGCTCGATGCGGAAGATACTTGCACGTCGCATGTCAGTATATGTTATGTAGATGTCGCTACAAGACCAGCAGCGTCCGCACGCCGCTTCCAATTCATTTGTACAGTACTGTACCATGTTTAGCACACTAGAAATGTTGTCCAGGGAGACACATAACATATGTTAAAAAAGAAAGTGGAGATTCTTCAATCTCCTTAAAAAAAAAGAATTACGGGTCGATGGTAACCCAATACTCATCCTGCACTTGATCACTTATGCTGTGATGCTGTCTCATGTAGTCATGCGTCAAAATTAAAATCTATACTGTACATTCTTAAAATCCTGGAATATTTCCCAGTGTCTCGAAATTCACTCAAAATGAGCCAACGTTTTGATTAGATTGCCTGTTTTTTTGAATATGCAATCACATTCACACTTAGTTTTTGTCTCCGGAAACAAATCCCTGAACCTCATTTATGTGCAAGAAGTATTGTACCATAAACGCTTCAAGAGTAAATCAACAGTTCATCAATTATGCAGCATGTCAAGAAATTCGTGCAAATTTTCTCTTTTTTTTCAAGGCAACCATGAAATGATGTAATATTTTTGTTTGTCACAGAAATTTTAATTTTATTTTTAAAGCTCTTTTGATCGGTTTTCTTTTATTTCAAAAAAGAATAAAATTTAGAAATTTAAATTCCCCATGGTTCAGTAGACAACCTGGAAGTAATTTCTATATTTTCAGGGAAATTAAAATTTTGAAGCATACACCATGGACCTAAAGAACGTTTTTTTTTAGATACTCACTTCCTCCTGTATAATAGTGCGCATGCAAATGTTTAAAGTATAATCTTGGCCATTTTCCTAGAAAATGAATCAACATTTTCAGTTTTTTTTTCAACTAAGAAAGCGAGATATTTCTACAACCCCTCAGAGGATAAATTTCCTGAAATTAGGAATTTGTACTTGATTTCTTCATTTGGTGCTAACGTACTAAAACATGATAAAAGCAGCACATTTCAACATTTTCTTTTTTCAAATTTGAGACCTATCCTGCAAAACTGATTGATGATTAACTCTCTCTCTCTCAAAATCATACGAAGGATGGAGGAACGAATTGTGAAAGAAGATTTCGGTGATGAGGAGTTGTTCACACCTTGAAAGAAATTCTATCGTTGAAAAACTGGTCTTGTTATTCAGATGCAATCTGATTTCTAAAAATCAAAACCTAAGACTCACACAAGAGAAGAATCATGTCTGCCTGGAACCAGAATGGAAACTCAGCTGTGGAGTTTCCACTTACTTCTTTGTTTTTTGTTGTTGCTGTTTTCTTTTAATTCTCTCCGTGACTTCCTTCCTTCCTGATGTCCATTCCTTGAACAACAGCAAGGGAAGTTGTCGCATTCTTAGTCATACTCCGATTTATTTTTATTTTACTTACATTTAATTTTTTTATTTTATGATGATCACTTTCCCCCTGAGAACTCAGACAGGAGAATACACCTCGCCGGAGGGCAGAAAACACACATTCTCCCTCATTTTCATGGCGTTCTCTTGTCGGCATGTCTTCATGAACGACAAACAAATGCTGGGACGATGTAGAAAGAGAGGAAAAAAAAAATGACCTTAAGGCAAAAATTGACTTGGCCCTCGGTCACGATTTTCATTTCAGAATGAGTCCCAAAGTGAAATTTCTTAGGTCTTAATAAAAAAACTGATGGGTGATTTGATGACAGATTATTTGAAAAATGGCAAGTAAAAAAAACAAAACGGGCAGAGAAATGAAATGTACTGTATTTTTTGTCAAAGCATCAAATCAATGTACAGTACTGTACTGTACTGCACTTGCATCAAGAAGGAATGAGCACTTCGCGGCCCGGCGGCGCTAGATGTCGCCGCCAACGAAAACGGCCCAGGCCGTCGCCTTCTGTCAGCTGCTGGTTTTACTCCCTGCCTAATGAATGACCAATTAACCGGATTACCGGATTATTGATTACTCCCAAAATGTGGTAATTGGGCAATCCGGTTATTTCCAAAGTACTAGCAGAGAAATTAGCTCAGAATCGCCACGAGCCTTTATGATGTGAGGAGAAGGGATGGTTCGTGTGTATTGGTGTGTACGACTGCAGGAGATGATACTTCAGCAAAAACCACGTTTTTCTCATTTTCCCACTTTTGGACTTGCCATTTCTCAAGCTACTTCGGTCATCAAGTTAACCTTCATGATCCTTATTTTGCCCTTTATTAAGACCACGAGAATCTCAACTGATGCAACTCGATGTTCATTCTGGAATAAATAAAAATTCGTGATGAAAGGCCGAGTCAGTTTTCACCGGCAATTCATTACTTTCAGTGTTTTTTTCTCAACATCTACATTGTTCCAGCATTTGTTCATGTCCTTCAGCCGCATGAAGACACGAGGACGAGAGAACATCATGAAAATGAGAGAGAATGTGTTGTTTTTTTTCCCTCAGGCGAGGTGTGTTCTCCTGCCCGAGTTCTCACGGGGAAAGTGATCATCGTAAAAAAGAAATAAGAACTTTATGTTTCCCCAAGAATGCGACAACTTCCCTTGCTTGTTGTCCAGCAAGGAATGGACGTCCGGAAGGAAGGAAGTCACGAAGAAAATATTCAGACGAAAAGAAAAAAGACAACAAAGAAGAAAGTGGAAACGCCTCATTGTAAGCTTATTATGTGAAAACTTGAAATTAAAAGAAAATTATGCATGTTCCAGCGTTTATTTGCGTAATTTTCCACGCGTACATTTTTAAAATATTTTATTTGTCCGCATCACGAATCAATGTCCAGTTTTGCAGATGCTTGCCAATAAATATGTGTGTGTAGGGCAGTCGGTGAGAAAAGTGCAAAGATGCCCTGAAGAAACCATCCGCGTTTCCGTGTGATCATATCTTGAAATATGACAAATTCAAGGAACGTTTGTCTGAAAAAAGCAACATGGGCCTCAATCATGTTGCTACTGATCTCAGGAAACTCAAGTGACGCTAGGAAATCTTTATTTGACGATTTCGAATCGTCTCCACTCGAAGAAGCCTCATTTGCGACCCTCGCGGCCAAAATGTCTAGGGACGACACAAAACAGGCTTTCGGTTCAGATTATGCCGACACTTTTCCGTCCAGAGAACAAACCGAATCTGCAGTTTTCAAGATTCGAACAACAGGGGATGAAACTTTGAGTAAAAGTTTAAAATCCACAACGACCGGCAGCAGTCTATTCGACGCCCGAACAGATGAAGCTCATAAACTATCCCAATTTGGTGAGTTGAAAATAATTTCTACTCGTGAGTCGTGACACCCACATTTAAAATTTCGTACAGACATCGACATTCCGAAAATTTGTTTTCGATGTTTCTGGGTTTCTCCGGATTTAAGCATTCTTTCTTTTTTCTCTGGAAAAAACTTTGTTAGCTTTTCTGAACGAGGTTTCCCAGTAAATACATACCGTGTGTAACCAGCCTAAATCTTTGACATCCTAGTATGAAAAACTCTTAAACGACACGAATGAAACACGACGGGTCTTGGTAAAAAAAATGACTTTCGAGAGAAAAATGAATTTACTCCTAGCTATGGAGGCAAATTTGAAGTAAGTCTGGACAGAAGTCCGAAAATGATTGTCAGGTTCTACCGAGAATTGTTCCAAAGCAATTGCCAGTTTGTGGAACAATCAGAAAATCCCTTTCAATAAGCAAAATCCTTTTTTTTTCTCGTCAGGGCAAAATTAAAATTTGCAAAGGCTTGACACTATATGCTGGTACTCCTCCTTATTGCAAAAATACGTTCAAAGAAGTATCGTGCTGTGACTGATTTTACAAATAAGTAAAAAATGTGAAGTTTGAGTAATAAGGGGGAAAACACAGGAAGTGTCTTTTTATGGATCTTGACAAATTTCTGGAGGAGAAAAATATGGCAATTGCTGCTCGATAAATTCTGGTTTTAAAAATTGTTGGCAGAAATCTAGAAATAGGTAGTGTTTGTATCGCCAAACTTCAAATCGCCAAATCTTAATTGCTCAACCATATCCATAACCTATAGTTTTTTGAATCGCGAAATTTTCCTTCGTTTTCTTCCAGCTGTGAATGTCAACTCAGATGTGCAATTAATACTCTAAAGAAAATTAGGACTTTAATTGATTTTCTTTTCTTAAAAAAAAAAAATCCGGTATAGCATAATTTTTTTTCCATTTCAGGATTTTCGCTGGACAAAAATGCGGATCATGCCTCATTTTCTACTTTCCCGTCCTCAGAAAATCATAAAACCTACAAAAAGCCTTCCCGAAAATCATCAAGTCAGACAAAGTCTTCTTTGTTCGACTCCAGTGCATCAGCATCATCAACCATCACTCGTTCGGTGTATGCAAATCCCAACTTTCCGTCAAAGGATCTATTCAGGTCCTCGTACTTTTCCGACCGAGATAAGTACGAGACCAAGGACCCTATGGAGTACTTAGTAACTGGGATTCCCCAGAGCCCGAGAAGAGATTTTTCCGTGGACTATTTTCTTGACGAAGGAGACGAACGACGAGAATTACAGTCTGGCACCTTTGATAAAGTTTATTACCAATATCCTCCACATGATGATGGACTTAAACTTGGTCAAAAGCCACGCAAAATCCCGAATTTCAAGGCTTGGGATGGAGACCGGTGAGTGCTTTCAAGTTTCGAATTTTAAAATGCAATTTCCGGATGTTTTATAAATTTCAAAATTTCTCGGGCTTTCGAACCTTTTTTCATCCAAGGCATAGCAGTATTTGAAAACTGATATAAAAGCTATCTTCATAATTTCGGATGCACACAAGAACAAGGAGTATTTCAGCATTTAATCTCGAAATGTTGGCCAAAGGAATCGAAAACAATTCAAATAAGACCAAGGCTGCAGGCATCATCAGTGAAACAACAAAAGTTTGGGGCAGTATTTATGTGCAACTCAAATAATACTGATGTTCTGTTGAGTCCCAAATGCAGAAATGTTTCAGGATCCAGCCACAAACAAAACTTGTTACATCTCAAGGACAGTGAACCTTGCCAATATCCTGTTTTTGCAAGACTCACTGAGCCTCACCCAAGGCCAAGAAGAATTCATAACTTCTTCAATTTTCATTAATTGGCCAATCCTGAGCCAGGAAGAAATCACCTTATTTCTTCCTGACCCAGTCTGAGTATCTGGGTATAAACATTTTAATTTCTCTTTGAGAGGAGAAGTGTGTGGGAATCTAGTGTTAATGTGACTTTAACCTTTAAGTTATCTTATTAATTATTAATTCTCGTGAACCAGCCAACCAATGTTACAATTTATTCTGCAATTCCAAATAAATCTTTGAGAGGAGAAGTGTGTGGGAATCTAGTGTTAATGTGACTTTAACCTTTAAGTTATCTTATTAATTATTAATTCTCGTGAACCAGCCAACCAATGTTACAATTTATTCTGCAATTCCAAATAAATCATTTCACTGACAACCAAATGATGATCTGGGCAATGAAAATGAATTCCTCTGAAAAAGAGCTAGAGTCCTTTAAAAAAATTGCATTTTGATGGTTGCACAATTCAACTTCTCTGTCTGGGCTACAATGGACCCATGACAAGTTCTGCAGTGTGGCATGAAGTTGAAAAGAAGATTGAAAAGTTAATTTCAAGAAGATAAAAAGTATTTTGATGCTCTGATGGCGAATGAAAAATGGTGGCCATGTCTTCAAAAATACCAAATTATGCTACGTGTGAGAAATCGGATGAAATTTTATCTCTGCAGTTGAGGAAAAAGTTAGAACATTTTCGCAAAAATGTATTTCATCTAAAATATTGATTTCATTGCAGAGGGAAAGTTTCATTGGCTGACTATTTAACCGCGTTTACAAACTCAATCAACCTTCTCAAGAACGGGAGATTTTGCTTTAAATTTTGGTGTTGGCCATATTAATTCCAATAGGATCATGGACGGAACATCATTCAATTCAAAGCTAATTACGTGGACCCAAATTACATGGACGTAAGGGCGTTGACACAAGTATGTTGAGTAATTAACCTTGACTTTTAAAATACTGGACTAATAAAAAGGGAGTAAAATACTGTTTGAAGTTCAAAAATTAAACGCAAGAAACAAGCTATCGATTTCTTTTTGAAATATTAGCTCTGCAAATATTATTTTTGAATCACAGTTGTGATCTTCTGTTTTTTTTGTAGGAAAGATTCATTTCGGCTTATTATCGGTATGGAGAACTCGCTCAATCGCTGTGCCTCTCAAAAAATGCTTCCAGTGCGCGTTAGAAATGAAATAAATTCTCTTCAAATCATTTGTTTTTTCAGTAGTAAAATGAAATGAAGTCACGTCAATATTTCATCCAAAATGCTGGCAGTTGTTTGTACAATGCCGCGGTCCTTTCACGTATGCTCTGTGATATTCGAGCATGAATCATTCTGAAATGACCGAAGCCTCATATAAATCATATAATAAGCCTCATATATTTGGATTTCACTTTCTTTCGAGATTCCTGCGCGTCACAAGCCCTTCTGGTGGATTTATTTCCCGCATCTGCTTTATGGTCATTTTTCCCAATACCTCCTCGCAGATACGAGTACAAGGGCCAGCCGACAGTCGGAGAAGAAAGCGGGGAAAGTTCACCCGCATCTGATGATTTCCGAGGAAGTCAGTGGTCGGATTCTGGAAGGCAGTCACGTCGCCCCCAGCCCCCGATTGTGGCCAGCGTGAACAGGGATAAAGGAGCGGTGATTCACATCACATTGAATCAGATTCCAGCGAAGAAACCGGATAGACCGAGTGGGAAAAGCATCCCTTCGTCAGCGAAAGATGAAGCCGCTGCTCCACCAGCAGCGCCGCCAGCGACAACAGTTGCGCCGGCAGTGACACCTACTCCATCTTTTCAGGGATATCATGGAATGGCTGGTTCCGACATGATGATGATGGTGCGCGAATTACTATTTTTTCTTATTCATTGCAACAAAGCTGTAAACTCACAACAACGAACAGCTTTTAATTCTAAATAAAGCCCTTCTATTTTGCTGATTAGTATAATGAAGATTTGAAAATCCAGATATTTGCTTCTGTCGAACTGTCGTATATATATATACTGTATATACAATCTATGCAGCATATATTTTATTCAGATGAATTTGCATTCTATCACTCATGACAAATCTGATCGTACCACTTGTGGAATAAACTTCACGTACCCATTCTGAATTTCTGACTGAAAGCAACATTTTAAAAGTAATTCACTGATGTCTAGACACAAAACTTTAAATAGGTGTATATCGTTCCCCAAATAATGATTATCCTAAATTGCCTCCTCCTTTTAAAAGTGCTCATGCCGGACTAGTATATTCAAAAATAAATGAAATTCACGAATTATGAAAAGAACGTGAGCTTTGAATCTTTTCGGGGTACGTAAATTATTGTTATGCAGATTCTTTCACGATGAGGCAACCATTGTGAGACAGTTTAGAATATATTTGAGGAAAAGTTTGAGGATGTGGTGGAAAGGAACTTTGAAATTGTAAGGTTGGAAAAATTGAGAAACAACCCTACACACGCGAAAAAAACTGATAATGGGAAGAAATGGGAAAGGGATGGCATGTTTTCATGGTGAAAGCATAAAGAGTTTCAGGGTTCATTGAAAGACAACATGTCTTACTTTGGAGTGAATAAAATAATAATTCAAGGGAGTATAAATGTATAATATTGTTCATTTTCTGAATAGCGGCTTTTCTTGCTTACAGCTGAGTCACAGGCTTTGGTCACAGCAAATTGATGCAATAAAGTACCTATATTTGAACAAATTTAGTATTTTTAAACCCTTTGGAAACGAATTACTGTACCAAGGTAACACCTGCAACTCGTATACCTGACTACCCGAGTATCTCAATGATGCAGAAATTGAGAAAACCTTTTATTTTTCAACTTGATGTTTTGTATAACCTCATTTAGCTATATTATTTTTTATAGATTTGGTCTTACATCATACATTGTTCAGAAATATCTGTTTTAGAAAAATAATTTCCTTTGAACACATCTCGAGAGATCACCACTCTTGCATTACAGTACATCAATTAAATTTTCAGGCAATTCCAGTCTTCAGATGTGCGTATCTCTTTTTTTTCAGAATCCATTGATGTCTGGTTTCAGTCACATGATGGGGGGCTATGGTGCTGCTGGAAGTAATGGTGGATACCTCATTTTACCTCAGAACAGTCCCAAGGGTGGCCATTATCCAGTGCCACCATTGGTGATCCCAATTCCCCCATTTTACCAAGGACATAACCACATCCATTCAACAACAACTGCTGCAACCCCAACTACAGGCCCTCCATCAGCAATGGATACTGTTCCTTCAACAACTCCTGCTGATGACACACCATCAAGAGATGAACATTCTGTCATCTTGATTGGACCGTCAAAGGCAAAGGCGTCTTTGTCATTGGCTGGAAGAACCATAACTGGACACAGTCATGAAATTCACAGTCTGAAAGGGGATGCTTATGGAGACAACTTGAGGCCCAGGGAAAATTCCTCACCAGTACCCTCTGGAGGATATGGGTTTTCAAAAAGTGATATATTAGATTAGAGCTTCAAAGGTACTCAGAACCTTGAAAAGATTGTGATACATTTCAGAGTTGAGTCATGATGAAGACTATGAGGGGAAATATACCAGGATCAAGCCCCCCACAAAACGCATCAGAATGTACTTGAATGGAGAGGATGTTCAGAAAATGCTACATTCGTATGGGAATCATTCGAAACATTTGCCATTGGAAGCTGCTGCAACAGTTGAAGGACCAACTATTCTGATCAGGCACAATTCCAAAACAAGTGCGCCTCAAAGGTGAATATATTTCCATCAGAATTTAAATATAAACCCATGGAAAGCGTACAACTTGAATGAATGAATGAATGAACAGAAAACTTTATTTGCCGCTTTTCAGCGTTCACAAGGCACAACCAAAACTACAACTTAATACAACTTAATAATCGAATCTGGGTAAAACAAATCATTGCAGAAATTTCTGGCATACAAGAATGTGTCAGGCAACTGCTGAATTTTCAAAAAATGTTCAGCTTTCAGCAGCGTGCAGTTTTTTCTTTTACTCACGAGAAAAAAGTTCACAGGTTGCTATTGTACAATAAGAACATGTGGTCAAACATTTTTCCCGAATGAAACTTTGCTGTTGTTGAGACACCTTTTGTGCTATATTCCAAGGGACAACTTTGTTATTTCGCTTAAAATTGTTCTGATTTGGCCAGAGAAATCATTTTAATTTTCAGAAGCTAACCTCTAATTAGAAAAAAAAATTACCGCTATCTCATTGCTGCAAAATCTTGTTGCAATGAATCTTACTAAGCCAAAAATGTTCCTCAAAATAAATGATTTTTGTCCCGTCCCACTAGTAGCAAAAATTTTATTTGGATTTCTTTTTACAATTCGATTTTTTAATCGTAACGAAGGCTTTTCCTGATTCCCGTGGCGCTTTGTTGTTACAAGATTTTATTTTCTAACACATTTTTCTCACAAAAAAAATTTTTAGGACCCTGGGAAGTTTGTTTCAGCAAGATCTTATCGCTCCTGTCGTGTCTTTCATTAAAATTCCAGGCCAGTTTCCAGAGATATTCCACAAATGCCAGCATACCGGTCAGCTCCAAATTCAGATGATTCTGGAGAATCTATGGACACCTGGAGACCCGTGGGTCCTCCAGGTACACCTTCCACCACAAGCTCTGATGCTTCCAGCAATACTCAGACGTTTACTGTCCCAAGCAA